CTCAAGAGGCCAAATACTTGGGAGTCATCTTTGACCACAGGTTAACATGGAATCAACACTTGCAAAAAGTCACCCAAAAGAGCACAATGTCGAAGGTTGTGTGGAAAAAATTGGGGATTACAACCAAAAATGTCCCTGTGGTTATATACCAGAGTCATAAGGCCGATGATAACATACGGGTCGGTGGTATGGTGGCCAAAGACTAGGCAAGCTGGAGCCATTCGACAGCTCAATGGTATTCAAAGGCAAGCATGCCTGAGTACCACGGGAGCTATGAGAACGACTCCAACAGCAGCTATAGAAGTCATGCTAAACCTAACACCACTACATATATTCATTCAAGGCGAAGCCAGGTCTGTCACATACAGACTGCACAAATGTTCATCGCCCATAAGCAGTTTGCATGGACGCGACTACAGCAAGCTATATAAAGAGTTGGAGAACGACCAAATAATGGGAATGCCTTCAGACGAAATGCTTCCAAAGTATAGCTTTCAAAAGCAATATAAAGTAAGTATACTAGACAGGGAAGCGTGGACGGGAGGACCTCCTATTCATGCAGATCTCACCTGGTATACAGACGGCTCCAAAACCCATGAAGGTTCAGGAGTAGGTATATATAGTACCAAGCCAATGACAGGAATCTCACTGAGCTAAGGTAAACATGCGACAGTATTCCAGGCAGAAATAGCAGCAATACATCACTGCGCAAAAGAAGTATTAAGACAGAAGGTAAATGGAAAAACCATTGTCATATACTCAGACAGTCAAGCGACGTTAAAAGCACTCAGTTCCATGCAGGTACACTCAAAGCTTGTGTGGGACTGTTTGGAAGCCCTAACAGAGCTGGGTAGTCAAAACATACTAACCTTAGCCTGGGTACCAGGCCACAGGGGACACAAAGGCAATGAAGAGGCTGATTTACTAGCCCGAGAAGGAGCATCAAATGCTCTTATTGGCCCAGAACCCTTCTGTGGTGTAACAAAAACAACTATCAGAACATGCACAAAGCAGTGGATGTTTAAAAATCTCAGGAGTGGTGGGAAAACTCACTAGGACAGAGACAGGCCAAAAAGTTCTTAAAAGGACCATCGTCTAAACTCACCGAGCATCTACTAAGCCTTAATAGGAAAAATACTAGAATACTAGTAGGTCTATTAACAGGGCATTGTAGGCTTAACAAACATATGTTCAATATCGGTCTGACAGAAGAGGCCTTGTGCCGATTCTGTCAAGAAGAAGAGGAAACGGCAGAACACGTATTGTGCTACTGAGAAGGTCTAGTAAGACAGATTCCTTACACTTGGAGAAGAAAAACCAAGGGCAACTAGCTATACCGGAGAACTACTTCCCAGTCTATGGAGTCTACTACAAAAGACCGCATTAGACAAGGTACTCTAAACAATGATTAAAGGATATCCACAATAGATCTGAAAAGGTCGAGGTGGGGGAGGCCACATGGCCCATAGTCCTAATTAAATCTAATCTAATCTAATCTAACAGTCGTACAAAAAGCTAGAGATGACTCGACAAAAATCAAAATAACACCACAACACAAAGGCAAACTGCCACCTGAAATCATAGACCTTATTTCTAACAAAAATCAAATCCGCAAAAGGTGGCAGCAATACAGGAGAGATGAAGACAGGGTGAGATTAATGGACATTGCGAAATATATAAATAAAGAAATCAACGAACACCGTAACAAAATTTGGCAAAAAACCCTGTCTGAAATCAATCCGAGGGACAATTCTTTGTGGGGGGTTGTGACAAGGTATAAAAAATCCTCTTCACAACTTCCTACACTGAAACAAGGACAAAATACACTTACAACAGATAATGAGAAAGCTCAAGCGAATACTTTCAAGCAAATTTTAGAAATGATCAAATAAATAATAACCAACAGAATATTATCGAACAAATGGTAAATGAATTAGGGGCGATGGATCCGGTACATGTTCCACACTCATTCTACACCTCTCCTAAAGAGATCGGGGAAACCATTAAGTTTCTCAAAAACAGGAAAGCTTCGGGCCCGGATGACATTGGCAATATACTAACTAAAAATTTACCTAAAAAGGGGGTTGTACAACGAAACTACATAATAAATGCAATTTTCAAGCTGCAATATTATCCTAGCTGTCTGAAGATTGCAAACAGAATTGACAGTTATAGGCACATCTGGCTGTTAAATTCAATTTCAAAAATAGTTGACAAAATCATTTTAAATAGACTTAACAAAATATAAGAACAACTACGACTTATCCCACAGGAACAGTACGGGTTCAGAAGTGGACACAGTACCGTTGCACAGATCATCAGGATCGTACATAGTGCCAAAGAGGCGACAAACATCAATAAACAAACGGTGCTGGTGGCGCTTGATAGCGAAAAAGCTTTTGACTCCGTCTGGACCTGTGGTTTAATTCATAAAATGCTTGTGAATGATTTTCCCGTTCACGTTTTAAAAATAATACACTCTTACATAACTAACAGACGTTTCAATATCAAAATAAACAACACAACTACAGGACCCTACTCAGCACTGGCGGGAGTACCACAGGGCTCAGTATTGTCGCCTCACTTGTACTCGATTATGACCCATGAGATTCCCATGGGACATAATGGGGTACAAACGGCACTATACGCCGACGACATCTGTTTGTTTAAAAGCAATCACTCTGCCGAAAGCGCAACAAGAACCCTGGACATCCATATAAACAGGAGTTTGATACCTTATCTAACTAAAAACAAAATGAGAATCAACCCTGCAAAAATTAAGAGTATGCTCATTACTAAAAGACGGTCGAGGGGTATCCATAACCCCCTAAAAATCCAAGATCAAAACATACACACAGGGGACAGGATGAAATATCTGGGTTGTCAGTTAGATAGGGAATTGATGACATTTGATCTCCACATAAAAGACAGGGTGGCAAAAAACCACATCGCTATTAAGACTCTCTACCCTATATTAAATGGGAGGAGCAGGGTCACCCTGTCAAACAAACTACAAATATTCAAAACTATTCTGAGACCAATCCTGACATATGGATGTACGGTATTTTGCTCCATGGCAAATACGCACTTCACCAAATTACAAGTAGCTCAAAACAGATGTCTTTGGTTAGCTTTGGGATACGACCGCTATGCCAGAATAGCCGACATGCACTGACAGACAGAGACTCCACTCATCAAAGACTATATACTTGATGCAGCCGAAAAATTCTACAAGCGGTGCCTTCTCGATAATGTGAGAGATGATATCTTTAGCATATATCGGGGAGACAACGTGCGTAGAAAACACGGCTGCATCCACGCTAAACTCGACATCTGTCAAAACAGACAATAACATCCTCCTCAACGCTCCCAGATATACTAAACAATAGACATGGGTAACGCAGCGCTGCGTTGCGTTATTGCGTTAACGCAGTTGTATGCGTTACGAGCGTTGATACACCAGCTGTTACTGTATCAGCGCAACGCAATTTTCGATACTGAGTCGAAAGGATCGCGAGTTGTTGGTGCGCCATGCGCCAGGCACTGATTCTGTTTTCCGTGACGAGTTGAGAATTTTAATTTACGTAATTGATGCAACTCGTAATGTAGATTACCCAAAATCTATCAAGTAATTATGTTCTTTGCAACATGTCACATCATTTGTAGGATTGTAGGTCGAATTTTATGAATTTTAATCTTGTACACTGTTAATTTTTAGTACTTCCCAATTTGATTGGCTACTAGTATACAAAAGTTATATCCTTTTTATATAAATTAGAATTTTTGTATTTTTTGTAAAATTCGAACACAATCAAATAAAAAAATGAGTGCATTACACTGTTATATTTTCGTTTATTTTTAAACATATAATAAAAAAAAAATTTAGTTAAATTCCCAATTGCGTTTTTGCCTTGAACACGGTTTGACCCTTATAAAAGGACAGCCCGCGCTGAATAACACCGGTATCATGCGATACACCGAGGTGCATCGACTTCATTCGGCGCAGGCAGTGGTGTGACGCAATAACGCAATTGCGTTAACGCAATGAGTTGGCGCAATAGAGTGCGCCGGAGTTAGTGTATCAACGCAAAGAATTTTAGTGCGTTACCCATGTCTACTAAACAATATCTCGCACCGACTAGCCATTTACACAAACTGGTCGTACGGCGGACTGATCGCTGGATCGGCCATCGGGGCAACAAACGTGAAACTTGTTGCTTGGAATGGAAGATACAAAGACCACTCTGCCTGTGGGATATACTAAAAAACCTAAGACTTTACTAACGTACATACAAGGACAACCCTGTTTTTTCTAGCTTTTTCAGGGGACAAAATCCATAATTAAAACGCGACAAATCGCTACCCATTTCCCATTACCGATTCCAAAAAGAACCTAAATTCCTCAATAATACCGAAACGGTAAGGAGTGAGGGCTGAAATATTTCCAATAGAAATCAAAAATGATTATTATAGGTGGACATGTCTCCCTCGGTCCCCTGGACCCGCACGAAAGGATATTATCTCGGTAGTGTTGTATATACTAATAATTAGTTTTGACATGTAGATAAATTTTTAATATGTAAATAAAATCTTCTAATGTAATGTAAATGTAAATAATTTGTAATGACATTTTTAATAAAATACATTTTTTTATTAATTTATTTATTAAATGATTGAAAATAATATAAAATATGCAATTGTTTTTAAAACGTAACACGTAACGTAACATGTTTGTCATGATCATAAAACGTTGTAGTAACATGAAAAATGAGTGCAATAAAATTTTTATTGCACCAGTGCAATAAAGACCCAGTTTTTCACTAAATATAGTTCAATAAAGTTTTGTTTTTTGCATGAACGTAGAAAAAATATTTTATTTGCATAATTTTTATAATGAAAGGAATTTATTCTTATTCCAATATATGGCAACTCTTTAACGCACGTCTGACATTTTTCTACTACCTACTAATGACGAAATTCAGTAAAATATATTGAATTTATTAACCCGTAAAGTTGATTATTTTCAATACTAACCAGTTTTCATCGACTACTTCCAAAGTAGGGCTGCCAATTGACTCAATATCCGAAGAAGTTGACGATTCTTCGTGATTAGGCCTTTCTGGCTTGTGCTTCATATAATCTACAACCAATTCTAATCCGATTAAAGCTCTTAGATCTTTAACTTTCTTTTCCTCTTCAGTCTCTTGTTTATGTTCAACGCCTTCCGTCATATTTTGATCTCTATTGTCGTATATACATTTGTAAATGTTCGAAATATTCGACATAACGTAATTAGTGCTAGTTTTATTCTGGCTTTTATCAAAACCCATCGATTTGACATCGAATTTCTTTGATCTATTTTCGTTGTCTGCGAAGGTCTTGTTGGGATTGGGTACCGAAAAGGCCGAACCGTTCCTAGTTTGCTTAAAAGTGTTACTAAGATCCGTGTCTTGTTTAAAATTTGATACTTCTGTGTGTGGAATTTTTTCTTTAGGCGGAGATTCTCGACTTTGTTCTTTAATGTTTTTTCTATCGTAAATATGGCCTGATACTTTTAAATCTATGAAGAAATGTAACGGATCAATACCATAAGGAGGGGTGGGGTATAAAGGAGGGTACCACATCGGTGGAGGGGGCGGTAAAACTAAATTTTGAGGATTATTATCTTGTTGGATATTTTGGTGAAGGTTTCCGAAGACATCTGTTGTGTTCGGCTCTACTTTGGTGTTGAAATTATCGATTTTAGTGTGATAATGATCCGTTTCTGGCTTGCTAATCGTTAGTTCTAAAGGATTTTCTTCAGTTTTTTTATTAGTTTTGACGTTCCACATAGTTTCTTGATTCAAATCTTCTGTTTTCGGTTCCGTGGATGGTTTTCCGTAATATTCTGATCTACTGGTGGGCCAATTTCGTTTTCTGGATCTCCTTATAGGTGGATGAAAGGACGAAGATCTTTCGGCTTTCGCTTGGACGAAGGATCGAAGCATTTCGCTGAAGAAGTACGTGTTTGGCAGCAGCGACATGTTGTAGAGGTAAGGAGGCGTTGCTGCAAGTAATCTCGAAACGAGATCTGTATTACGAAATTCTAGAGGTGACATCCTTGGTTTTGGCGGAGGCGGAAGATGTTCGTTTGTAGAAGCCATCTGGAAATAAAAGAAACATTTTCTTGAAATAGGATAATGCTTCATAATTCAAATTTATTGAAAAAGCACACTTTGAAGATTCGTTTAACTATATAACCATTTTTCTCCTTTAGATGCTTAAAGAGTACTTATAACAACTGTAATTAATACATACTCAGAAAAAAAGGTGTACTATATTCAAGATGAATGGTCTTATATCAATGCTTAGTTGTGTTTGTATATCCGCAAGTAAAACTCGTCTTAATTTGAAACTGTAGTAATACTTGTTCAACAATAACTTATAAGCCCTGCTTCAAGAATAAAATCAACTTGCCCTAACTAAAATACCTCCAACAGGGGCGTGCGGTCCATGGAAGCGGAGGAAGCACCGCTTCCCTACACTTTGAGATTTAAAAATAAATATTTTTCAGTTTACAATGCATAGAAATTAATATTAAATTAGGTACTATATTTTCTCTGAAACATTACGTAAACTTCGTAAATGTACTAACAATTCATTGGTGTAATGTGTAAACGGATGCACCACCCATGAGAAAATTAATTGTGTAAACGCACACGCCCTATACTTCAAGTCCGTAGGCGGAAGCGCGTCTTAAAAAAGCCGGCTAATCTTCCAATTGATTTCGCTTCGTGTTATTGACCCTGCTTTGGTGCGATAGTACTTAGTCTGTTTGGACACGTGAAATACGGGTAACGATTTTTACGTCACCTTACGCTTATTGCAATTCGCACCACGAATCTACGTGTGAGGAAAATCGTAGACTTAAGACAGATTTCGGTTTGTTTTTCGTAGTTGTTTTTTTTTTGTAAAATGGAGAAACTATGTACTGCGCCTGTGAACAATAATAATATGGTAAATTGTGTCTGTATTATGTGCTCTTTATTGAAAAAAGGATTTTCAAGTAGAACTTTTGAAGAAAAAACAGACATTATTAATTCTAGTAGACTAAAGGATCCTATCAATTTAGAGACGAAAGTAGAAAAGTCAGCAAAGAAATTTACCAGGCATTTTCACGTAGGGTTCTATGAAAGGTATGAATAGTTAACCGGCTGCAAAACTTTGAAGAAATTGTTTTGCTGGCCTTGCCTATTGTGTAAACGTACACACTGTAATGTTTGGATTGGTATATATACTGGGGTTTGGAGTAGAGAACAACAAACAACAGCTGGTGTGTGGTAATATGAAGGCAACACTTTTCGAAGAAAGGTTTTATTTAATATATTACAACTAGTAATAATTGATACAGGCACTTCGACCGTAAGCCTGTCACAACTGACAACTAATGATATATGACACGCTCTTTACAAAAAAAAATAAAAATAATAAAACTGAAAGTTAACAACTTTTAGAATAAAAGGTTTTTAAAAAAAATAAACTAAAATATAAATTTTAAATCTAAGTAAGGTGACCGCTTGATAACCGATACTCTGGATCATTGGTAACTTATGATGTTTGTAGTGGTCTAATCATCTGTCTATTTCTACGATATTCAGCTTCTCCTATCTCAACTATATAGTCGTTAAGGCCGGATTCCCTTACAATTTTTGCAGGAACCCAATCACGAGTAACTTTTTGAACCAAAACTTTTTGTTCTGGTATCAATTTTGACAACTGCTGGGTAGAATGGTTATAGTAAGTCTCTTGTCTGCATTGTTTGTCTTCCAATGTTTGTTTTATACCTTCCATTGAGAAATTAGGTTTTAGAAGAGTTTTCGGGACAGGTAATGTAGTTCTTAATCTTCTGCCCATAAGAAGTTCACTTGATGATGGTAATTGTTCCTTGGTAGTGACATTGTAATTTAATATTGCTAGGAATGGATCTTCGCCATCCTGGTATGCCTTTGTTAATAAACCTTTGACAGTTTGCACTGCCCTTTCTACCATCCCGTTAGATATAGGGTAAAGAGGACTAGAAGTATTATGTTTTATATATTTTTTAGTGAATTCCAAAAATTCGTGAGAATTAAAGGGCGGGCCATTATCAGAAAATATTTCTTGGGGTATTCCGTGGTTCGTAAAAACATTTTTTAATGATGATATGACTGTTTCTCCTCTTTTGTTGGTTAATTTATTTGCTATTATAAATTTGCTGTAATAATCAATAATAACTATAAAATTCAATGTGCCTAACGACTTGAAATCGATTCCAATTTTTTGCCACGGAAGTTCCGGAACTGAATGAGAATGGAGAGGCTCCCTTGGATTTGTCTTGGAATATTTTTGGCAAGTTATACACCTTAAAACAGTATTTTCTATGTCTGAAGATAATCCAGGCCAGTATATGCAATCTCTTGCCGTTCTTTTACAGGCAACGACTCCTTGATGACTTTTGTGTATCAAGTTTAAAAATTCTGCTTTCAAACTGTCAGGAATTATTAACCTCTTTTGATAAAAAATTAAATCATTGTGACAAAATATTTCGTGTCTAATTTGCCAGAAATGTTTCAAAAGTGGAGGTAGGTTGCCTTTATGTGATGGCCAACCATTTAATAGATAATATTTTACTTTTTGGAGGATAGGATCTGTAGAAATTGCTATTTTTAAACGATTTTCGTTCTCTTCTGAGGTTGAAAGAATTGAATAAATTTTTAGGTTTGTGTCGACATAGGATGTGTCGATGAAGGTATTAATAGGATCTCTACTGAGTGTATCAGAAAGTTGTTGATTTTTTCCAGGAACGTAAACTAATTCAAATTGGTATCTCAATAAACGAAAGGTAAGGCGTTGAATTCTAGGAGATAGGTCTTCAAAAGGTTTTTTAAGCAAGCCTAGTAATGGGCGATGGTCTGTTTGAATAGTGATATTATTACCAAAAGTAAGATAATGGAATCTCTCACATCCGAATACTAATGCTAATAGAAAATGTAATGTTTGGAGTAGAGAACAACAGACAACAGCTGGTGTGGTAATATGAAGGCAACACTTTTCGAAGAAAGGTTTTATTTAATATATTACAACTAGTAATAATTGATGCAGGCACTTCGACCGTAAGCCTGTCAAAACTGATAACTAATCATATATGACACATACCCAAAGAGGTTAGAAAGGGTAGAGGTAACATAGGAAGCATTTGTCACTGCGCGAATTTTGCCAAAACCGAAAAACTGGGTGGAAGGAGTAGGGAGATGTTCTGGGCCGGACTTAAATATTTGTATTGTAGTACCTAATTTTGGTAGGTAACTAAAAGATGAAAAATTATAACACGTTTTTTTGACTTTATTTGTCAGCACGATTCATTTATGATGAGGGCAATAACACTTTATCAATATATAACTAGCTAAGGGGCGATTCCACCGTTGTGTCAAACGAAGTTTAAATTACTAAGTGAAGATTAAAACGACATTGTTAATGTAAAAATGTCATTTTAAACTCCATTTAGTAATTTAAACTTTATTTTTGTTAATATAAAAATGTCATTTTAATCTTCGTTTAGTATTTTAAACTTCGTTTAACAAAACCGTGAAATCGACCCTAAGTAGAAGTTTATAAAATTATTGTAACAAAATATCTGTTGAGACAAAAAGTTATCGAAACAGCCAAAGTACTTTTTGCCGAATTACACACAAGATTTTTTCTACGATCACACCAAAATAAAACAAATAATTAAATTTTATTAGAAATGGGTTACCTTTTCGTTCGTTATATTTTAAGTTTATTTGACATAAGCCTATTCTTCGAAGAAAAAAAAAATGTTTTGGTACTTATATACCGGTAATTATTTATGATTTAATTATTTACGGAAAATACCGTTCAATGATTTAAAATATTAGGAAGTCAATTAATAGCTATTTATGTAACCAGTTACGAAATGCCTTATTTTGTGTATCGAGTAAATATTTGCGGGACGAGCGGAGCGAGGTCCTGCAAAATGAACGAGTTACACAAAACGGCATTTGGTAACGTGTTTACATACAAGTTTTTTTTTTAATTTTGTCTTGATTATTTATAAAATTGTGTTGAAAAATAATTCACTAGCATTCTTTTGTAGGTACTTCCAATCAAATATTTCAGAAAATTGTTGTATTTGATTGCCCTACGACGTTTTTTTTTTCAATAATAATAAAAATAAGGAACATGTGCAGTGTTGTAGATCTGATTTTTGACATTACCCGCGAGAAATTTAAAAAAAAAACATTTTTATCCATTATCCTTAAAGGAGTACGTCAAAATTTTACCCCCAACATTTCTGGGCAGTTTTCAATAACGGTGTTCGGCCTTTTTTTCGATATTTGGTTTTTTCGATTTTTGGTTTTTTGGATTTTTCGATTTTTTATTTTTCGATTTTTAGATTTTTCGATTACTCGATTTCTCGACTTTTCGACTTAAAAACCAAAAAAGAGGCAGTTTTATTTATTTTCATTTCGTAACTGGTGACATAATCAACTTTTCGTAATCAGTTGCATAATGTTCTACTTTATAAAATATATTACTTTATATGTCAAAATTAGAGAAAATAAAATGTAATTAAATGGATAAATCCCATATTATTATAGAGCAGTGTTTCTCAAACTTTTTTGGGGACGGAACCTTTTTGAAAAGCGAAATATTTGACGGGGCCCTCAACAAATTAAACACATAATTTAAAAAATATTTTTCAAATTTTTTTCTTCAATTTGACTCTCATTTTGGCTTTCAAGGTAAACGTGATAAAAAATCGGCTTCATATTATGCTCCGATTTTACATATTATTCAATTTTATAATTGTAATTTGACAATATTACTGCCCATCTACGTAGTCTGTTGGCTGAAAATTGGGGTATACTGGGTTTAAAATAGTTACCAGGATCCGTAACTAGGGTAAAGAAATATCCATATAAATATTCATTTAATTTAATTAAGCCAAAAATTATTGCGAGGCCCTCTTTTTCAATTTTTGAATATTTTTGTTCGGACTTTGATAAGGTACGCGAAGCAGAAGCTGTAGGTTTCTCAATATTTTTTTCAAAAACATATGACATATCATGGCCCTTATTCCCACATTTGATGCATTTACG